TCATTTTCTTGGTTATTTCATTTCAGTCTCTGCAAAAGGTTTTTACAAGGAACAACACGTCATAGACTTCTTATGTGAAACTCTTGGACGAGATGTAACGCCTCAAAGTCTTGAAGACCGTAATTTTCGGCTTGATAAACAAAGACTTGAGAAGGCCATGAGTGGTAAGAGTGCATAAGATCTTAGTTGCACGGTATAACGTAAACTTAAATCATAATAAATGCAAAATTGGTCATAGACATGAGCATGTAATTACACAGTATTTGCAGAAATCATTTGTTAATGTTTTAAAAACTTTCTTTTGTGTGTTTACAGGGCCCTAGTAGGCCACACCTTTGTTTTTGTTTACATGTGAGAGTTTGGTGAAACTAGTAAAGATATTTGAACATACTTTCAGGAACACAGCTTACAGTGAAGTGATAAGATTTCGCTTCACCTTGCAATTTCAATAATTTCGATGGCATCAAAAATGGCAGAGGCTGACTAGTGTCCTTTAATATTTACTTCATGAATTTTGTGTTGTTGTTGTTGTTTTTTTAACATTTTCCCTAGGAGCCCGTTTGTTTAAAGTGATGGATAATGCTATCTGCCGGATAAATCGCTATTCATCGTAATTTGTTTGTCAGCACTAATCCACATGATACGTAATAGTGATTTTCCTGGCGGATTGCATTATCCATTCATTGAACATCTTGGGCCGGCGGCCATGTAAACTTTCCATTACACAGCGTGGCCGAGTGGTAAGCGTGTTGGACTCGCAATCCAGCGGTCCTGGGTTTGAGACCCGCTCTGACCACTACCTGGATTTGTTTTTCGGTATTCCGGGGTTCAGAACTTCGGCCATACTTATAAATAGCCAACTGGTTTGTCTCTGGCCAGTTGGGATTCTTAACAATGTTATGTTCAATTTGAATTATTTGTTTCAGTTGTTTGCTCCGCCCCACTAGTATATGTGGTATAACACTGGCGAGGGTAAATAAAGGTTATATATTACACTAAACAATTAAGTGACAGCAGACACAAAAGGAGTCTGCTGAACACGACTAACTCTAGATGAAAAGATTTAATACTCAGATTATATATCTTGATCAATAACGATTTTTTAAAACATAAGCAAGTGAATATTAAAGTACCTACTTGTCTTTGAGAACAATTTCACGTGCTCACTAAATGCTCAAACAAATTTGATCGCCTAATTAAGGAGATGCTTTTTTAAGAAAACTTTAGTCATCTCTAAACGTGCAAACGGACTCAATTCACACAAAGTTATACACTTGATGATCTTGTGATCCTTTGTTATTATGTTAATTTGTAGAGACTGTAAAAGTATAGAAATCAAATCTTCGCATTGATTTATTGCTGGCGTATGCATTATAAATGCATGAGGCCTGTTAAGTCAGGACAAATGTTGTGAAAATGTATACGGGATGACACCTGACAGACCTCCGAGAGCATATTTTGCCCTATAGGTAGACTGGGTATACCTTTCGAGTGATGCTTCAAGTGATCCTTTGCCGGGTCTTTCGATGGCGACCATTGCCAGCGTTCTGCAACCTTTGTTGGGCGTATTGCTTTATATCGTGTTGTCTGCGCCTTTATTTTTATTTTCTTCCCTTCATTTAACACAAGCGCACATCGGAAAGGCAAACGCTGCCTTTCGGTACATAGTCAAGAAAAAATAATGAGTAAAAAAGGGTAAAAAATAAGTAAAAAAAAATACTTACAGCCTCCAGTTCTCAAGGCAGATACATGTAACTTCTCTGCTGCACCACACCAACGACTATATTTGACTTAGAGAAAGTATTGATTATATCGGTTTATAGGGAAGTGTTGGGTAGTTAGAACGACAGTCTCGGCCTAGAACGAACCGACAAGTCCCGCGAAAGTATCACCAAACTCATTTATTGTCGTACATTTATCTTTCAAGAAATTCTCCCCTCGTAAGACTAGAATACGCCAAGCCAATGGCATACTACAGTGGAACCTCGATTTAACGAGCCTCTATTTAACGAAGTCCTCGATATAACGAACGATATTTTATGTCCCGGCCAAAGTTAAGTGGATCAGAACCTCGATATAACGAATTCTTCGATATAGCGAACATAATCCGGAGGCCTAAACGCAAAATCTACCTCGACATAACGAATTACAATGTTTCCTTGTTTACATAGACAATTTTCTGTATAACCTCTATGTTGCAACATTTTTAAATCGCCGCTCTTAAAGTGTCGCTCTTTTGTAAACAAAAGCTGCGCGTCNATTACAATGTTTCCTTGTTTACATAGACAATTTTCTGTATAACCTCTATGTTGCAACATTTTTAAATCGCCGCTCTTAAAGTGTCGCTCTTTTGTAAACAAAAGCTGCGCGTCTGCTCTAAGTGAAAATAGTTGATACTGAAAGCCACCATGCTTAATGAATTACATCTCAAAACGCGACACTTCTGGGTGACGAAAATTGCATTGAATTGCGTGACAGAAGTCACCTGTGTTGCAAATCAATCATTAACTATGACCTCGATATAACGAACATTTTGGTCGTTTCCCCTGAAATTCGTTATATCGAGGTATTCGATATAACGAAGCCTCGATTTAACGAACAAATTTGGCCAATCCCCAGCGACTTCGTTAAATCGAGGTTCCACTGTACTAGCAATAAGCCCAAAAGTACGCATTGCGGACCGTTTATTCACTTTGCCTTGAGAATGGTGTCGCGATGACGCCGAAACGTTGGCTATTAACTTTAGTATTCACTTGCATAGATTATATATCAGTTCTGGAAAAAATAATGAATGCACACCATGTACATGCTTTGGGGGCTTAGGACTTTCTAAAACTTTAGAAAGTTCCTCTGAGACATATTTCAATTTGGAGTAAGAAGACATGAGGTCTTTAAAGGGGCATTGACCATTGTTTAGGGTCTGTGTATAAATAATTGCACTAATACTTAAGCTTTTGTCCTTCAGGGATCCGTATACAAACTACTCACGCAGCCTCTATCAAGAGAAAGTACACCGTGTGGGGAGTATCAAGTACTTCTGCAGAAAAGCTACAGTTTGAGGTTGAGGACGGAACAACTGGTCGCAAAAGTAAAACAACTCTTGCAGAGTATTTTAAGGATACATACAAGTTTCATTTAAGGTATTGTGCAGTTACTTTTTTAACTGGTGAATTGCGATAGTAAGTTACGAGTTGTAGCGGGAGATCAAATGATTTTTAATTAAACCAGTTTACTGTAAAGAAACAGATGAGTTACAATCAAATTAAAAATTACAAAATAAGCGATATACTCGATCGTGTATAAGCGGCTTAAATGACGATTTAAGTACTTGAATTTGAACAATTGAACAATTTTAAAGGAACATAACTTGAAGAGAATTCGACTAATGTTAGTAACAAGTTTCGCGTGCCCGCGACACTTGATTTGAACGAGTATATTTGACTTTGCTGTTTCTGTTAGTTAGTATGCTAGTAGCTCGCGAAGTTCATGAGGAAAGTTTGTGCATTCAGAAAATTTCAAAACGAATTGCAGAGGCGCGGTGCGTAGAAACGCATGTTAAGTCTTAGATTACATGCATGTGGCTGTGAAACTCTGAAGCAAAAGCTCAGGGATTGAAACCTGTCTCCATATGATCGCCACGATGACTGGATCAAACAACAACACACTTTATTCTGTTATATTTTTCTTGTGAAAGATTGCTACCATTTTTATACGATCGCAACCATTGCTACGATTGTTGAGGTGGAACTGAGGTCTATACAGGGATCGACTTGTGACAGCGATCCCTACAATTGCTCAAAAGTTGTTTCCATAACATCACAACGATCACTAAACTTTTTTTCAGCGATTATATGGAAACCAGCCTTTACGTATAGTGTTTATAGTGTATATATCTTGTACATCTATTTGGAAAGAGAAAAGAAGTAACTAAAACCGAATAAAATACAACAAACTATACTCTCTCAATTTCAGATATCCTCACTTACCCTGCCTACAAGGTGGCCAAAAAAGGGACCGTTACCTGCCATTAGAAGTGTGTACCATCATTCCTTGTCAAAAAAGGCATTTATCAGAG